TTGCCACATTTCACCATGCCTTAGCCCTTCCCAATCTGGCTTTCGGCGCAACGACTCAACCTCTGACCAACTAGCTCGTCTAGTACAAAACATTGCCACCCTTCGTGATGCTCGACACCATATTGCTCTCTGCTTCTTTGACTTGGCAAAGGCCTTTGATACTGTCTGGCATCGTGGCCTCCTTGCCAAGCTACATTATTGTCTTTGGTGTGTCTGGCCCTGCTCTGTCCTGGCTGGAGTCCTATCTGAGTAGCCGATCACAGTTTGTTTCTGCCCTCTCCATCAACTCTGATCCTCTACCAGTGTCTTCTGGAGTTCCCCAAGGCTCCATACTTGGACCTCTGTTCGTAGCATACGTAAATGATTTACCCTCTATAGACCCAGGTGTCTCGTTTTTCGCTGATGATACAACTCTACTGTCAGCATCCTCGTCCTCAGCGGCTCTTGTACCTCGAGTGTTGGCTCAGATATGCAGTGTCCTACGCTGGATGCAAACATGGCGACTTAGACCCAACCTGACTAAAACCGAAATAATGTTCCTTCCCCCAATCTTATCCATGTCACTTTTACACCATCCTGATTTCCCAGAACCCATAAGGGTTGTTTCCAACCATAAACACCTGGGACTAATGCTTGATGATCGTCTCTCTTGGTCTTTCCATATTGATGCTCTTTGCAGCCGTTCAAGCTCTGCCCTAGGTGTTATACGTCCCCATTGTTTCCATCTTCCTTTCAAATGTAAAATTTTGTTTTACATACTGTACATCCTGCCTCTTTTCCTGTACGCTGCTGTTAACTGGTGTGGCTTGTCCTCGGTTCTCGTTGAGCATCTCGAAATCCACCATAGAAAACTTCTTCGTATCCTGTATAGTCTACCCCCTCTCTACTCTTCTGCTTCCCTGTATGTCCTTGCAAATGCTTGCCCACTGTCGACCCACCGTCAAAAATTAATTTGCACTTTAACCCACAAATTTAAACTAGGTCTACATCCTCCTCATCTTAACGTGTGTAACTGGTTCCGAATCACAGATGGCTCCCAGACAAGATGCTCTGTTGCCCTCCCCTTGGCTAAAACGTCCTCCCTTGTACGCTCTCCACTCTTTGTTGCTTACTCTGCTTGGCTTGCGCTGCCCGCTACTACGCGCAATGCCAGTATCCTGGACGCATTTAAATCTGCTCACTAGATTCACCATCACCTGTCCCTCGCATGCTTCTCCGTCTTGACCATTACTTTTCTTCTTTTATTCACCATGGTTGGTTAACACCCATATCTCCCGTACTGGCTGATTTTCTTCTCATGCCAGGAGGTGTTGTCTATAATAATATTAATAATAACAACAACAACAACAATAACAACAACAAAAACAATAACAATGACAACAACAACAAAAACAACAACAACGACAACAATAACAACAACAACAACAACAACAACAACAACAACAACAACAACAACAACAACAACAACAACAACAACAACAACAACAACAACAACAACAACAACAACAACAACAACAACAACAACAACAACAACAACAACAACAACAACAACAACAACAACAACAACAACAACAACAACAACAACAACAATAACAACAACAAAACAACAACAACAATAACAAAACAACAATTCACTACTATAATTGCTTGTCCACCCAGCATCGCGAAATCCCTTCTCGTGCTCTCTTCAAATCCCAGATATCCCTGCTGTTGCACAGCTCTGTATAATCGTATATCGAGCATCCCTGCCCGTACACTTACGTGATCATTAACACCCAGGCCCTGCCCACCCAATTCTTCCTCACTCTTTCTCCTTTCTCACACTATTATCTCTTATTGGCCACTGGCTATCGTGAGAATAGAGATTTGAAACAACAATAATCGTGAGAATAAAGAATAAAAAATACAACAACAATAACATGGCACTCTGTAACCATCACGTATTTCAGGATTTTCAATAATCGCGCCTGATAAGGTAGAAAAGGGTCGAATAATGTTAGAACAAGAGGCGGTCATGCCGTACAATATTCACTCATATGCACCAGTTACGAACCATCAAAAGAAGTGATAATCGTTATGTAAGCTTGGTTGCAGGGATAATGTTTATGTAAAATATCCCAGCCTTTACTGTTAATAATCTCTGGCGACACGTCCCTGGTCTTGATTTCCTCTCGAATTCGTTTCCGGAGATAATCGTTTTAATCACAACAACCTCGGATGTCTGCCCCGGGCGTACAGTCGGAAGGATACGTAGTCGCCTAGTGGTCCTCAAGCGGTTAACCATTGACAGCAGTCGTCGTTGTGTTCTGTAATTCTGCTGGTAAGGCAGCAGGGGAATTCCCTGACATAAATAAATATCACCGCGTCTTCACTGAAGATCGTACACATCACTGTATGAGTACACTGTACACATCACTGTTTACACTCTTTAGATCCCGACTAACAGCGGCTTGAAGAGATCACAGGACAGACCTGCACACTGACCTACACGAAAGCACAAACACTTGCGAACATGCACACTAACACCTAATAACAAAAGTTTAGATTGACGCACCGTCGTACGTGTAGCTGTCAAAGCCGTTTTAGGGTTAGAGTGTGCGGCTCTTTTTCGCTTTTTTAACAGCTTGAGCCTCCCGCACGGGAAAAGTAACACATTAATTTTGTGAAGCATCAACACAATTACATAAAACGAATGAAATAATAATGATTATACAGACTCAGTAGGATGACTGCAGGTTCACTGGATGCGTGCCTCAGCCACTACTAGCACTGGAGGAGACTCAGGCACGGCAGGAGCAAACAGGCTCCTTGAGCCATGCAGGCACATGGCACCACAACAAACCAACCTACCACCCGTTATAGTCTCGAGTACTTTTTGTCTTCTGATGAATAGCACACCAAAATGGACTGAAATACATTACTTTAGGGAAATGGTTAAAGGAGAAGTATACCCTAAAATCATATTTTCACCAGTTGTAGTCTTCTGGGTGCTGAGTCGAATGGTCTTGGTCCGAGGAAGCTGCGACGCTCCCTTCCTACTTGAATCCCAATCGAACTCGCGCACTTCCATCGACTGGGTGACTGGGTGACTGCGCCCTACTAGATGGGGATTTGTATGCAAAATGTCACTAAAAGCGCCATTTCGTTCTTATAAAAGGACGGATGACCGCCATTGGCCCATATTGTGTAGTCTTTTGGACGCTGAGTCGACTGGTTTTGGTCCGAAAAGGCTGCGATGCAGCGTTCCTCCTTTATTCCCAATCGAACATGGTTGAACAAGCGGTCACGTGCTCCTGGGTGCCCAAATCACCTGGTCACCACGCCAGCAGGCGACAACTTTCACACCAAGGTTCAACTCGAGTTCAACTCGAGTGACAGGACTGCACTCAAAAAGGTCAAACAGGCTAGTAAGTTGTACCCTGCAGGCACGGTGACCAGGTGACTGGTGTACGCAGGAGCACGTGACCGCTTGTTCAACCATGTTCGATTGGGAATAAAGGAGGAACGCTGCATCGCAGCCTTTTCGGACCAAACCCAGTCGACTCAGCGTCCAAAAGACTACAACATATGGGCCAATCGTGGTCGTCCGTGCTTTTATAAGAACGAAATGGCGCTTTTAGTGACATTTTGCATACAAATCCCCATGTAGTAGGGCGCAGTCACCCAGTTTCGGTGGAAGTTTGCGAGTTCGATTGGGAATAAAGGAGGAAGGGAGCGTCTCAGCTTCCTCGGACCAAGACCATTCGACTCAGCACCCCGAAGACTACAACTGGTGGAAATTTAATTTCAGGGTATACTTTCCCTTTAAGAAAGTTAGAAGACCCTTACAGATCAAGTTAACAGCAGCCCATAGAAGATGTGCTGTGCCGTTGTTTGTCTTAGTCCTGCAGAGAGTTCAGAACGTGGTTCATATGGAGGTGAATTCTCAGCAAGCAAGACATCCGTGCTGTGCCATAGAGCTATCAATGAAACACCTACTGCTGGAATCCAATAACAAATGTACAATGAGCCATAACGGTGGTTTCTGAACTGCAACATCTTGGCATAACGTTGACCGGCAACCTGGATTTTCGCAAACATGTCGCCTCAATAACTTAGAAGTTCAGATATTGAGTGCACCTACTGTCAATAATGTCCCGGCAACTTACGCCTTCGGCAATGATCATACTGTACAAAGGGTTCGTAAGACCTGTGATCGAATATAGCTGTACGGTGTGGTCGTTTGGATCTAATAAGAAACCCATGATCCCTCTTGATCAATTACAGGCAAGGTTTGCTAGAGCTCTACTGAAAAAGAAAAAAATTACCTTTGATTACACTTCTTCCAAATCTGTCTTACTTGGTCCGACTTATTAAAATGTGCGCTTTGCTTCCGACGTCTCCCAACCAAATGTAAATGATGTCAGGACGGAATGAACCTGCCAGCTACTAACACTGTCCTTCAGTTGTCGATTGGTGATGTTGAAGAAGAAATGGCTCGAACTCCGAAGAAGGCAGCGCCTCAAACACCCCGGCGACTCAAGCATATTGCGCCAAAATTTCGTCGTCAGAGGACTCCTGTTGCTCCACGGGCAACACCGAGAAGGCCTGGTGCTGACATCAAGACACCAATGCGATGGAGAATTGTTACTGAGTACCACAAACTCCTTGGCAATCACTCTCGACTTTCTCCTGGCGGATTAGAATCGTTGTAGTCGCTGTTTCCTGGGCAGAATCTCAGCAAACGAGTGATCCAGAAATTTGTGCAGCAGTACAGGCATCGCTCCGTTCAGTCTGCTGATCTCTCTCGACATCGTTCGCGATGTGGCGTCGGACGAATCAAGTTTGCAGAAGACATCGCCGAGAAGTTGATTGACATCAACAACCGCCACTGGGGTCGCCTCTCATGCAAGAAACTTGCTGGAAAACTGAACGAACAAGGAGTGATTTGTTCTGCGGATACGGTGCGTAGATGGTGCGGAGTTCTAGGAGCCGCGAGGCGTCATCGCTACATCAAGCCTATGCTGAAACTGCGTCACAAGATCACTCGACTCAAATGGGCGATCGATACGTACAACGGGGATGAGCGCGCATGGCCTGACTGCTATCACACCGTACACGGCGATGAAAAGTGGTTCTTTCTGATGCGTGACGGTGTACCGTGTCGAGTGTTTCCCACGTGGGAAGAGAATGATGATGGCGGGATGGAGCATCGGATCACGCTGGCGGCCGCAGCACGTGTTTATCACAAGTCTCGCTGCCCGAAAGTGATGTTCCTCACTGCAATCGCACGTCCCCGGCCCGATCACGACTTCGACGGCAAGGTCGGAATATGGAACTTTACGAAGGTGAGAAAAGCCAAGCGCAGCAACCGTAACACGGGCACTGTCGCAGGCGAAACGGACATAGTCGAGACTGTGACCGTGGATGCTGATGAATATCGTAGCGTCATGCTGAAAAAGGGTGGCGTATTTGACGCGATCCACACGAAAATGTGGTGGTTCAAACGAGACTCTGGAGAACCTGAAGCCGGGCATCCCATCATATACCAACACGACGGTGCGAAGCCTCACACAGCGAAAAAGAATGAGAAACTCTGGGCCAGTCACGGAGCTCAGAAAGGCTTTCGCATCGTTGTTCGCACGCAGCCAGCTCAGTCTCCGGACTTGAACGTCAATGATCTTGCCTTCTTCGCCAGCCTGCAGTCGGATACGGAGCTGGTGGCGAAAGAGAACGTCACGGACCTCATTCATGCAGTCGAGTCTTGCTGGCAAGCATATCCGGCTGAACGCATGGAAAATGTCTGGAGCTGCCCTTTCGGTTCTTTCAAAGGCATCGTGGACACGTCGGGCGACAACTCCTACAGCCACCATTCTGGCAGTCGTACTGCACATCGAAGAGGCACCGGCGATCGTCAAGATCGGGCGTTTGGAGTGAAAAGGATCAAGGAAGCGCGGCTCAGTCTGGAGGAAATGAAAAAAATGTCGGACGTTTTGCAAGATGACGCGCTTGCAGATGCGCCTGGAGACACCAGCAGCGATGAAAATTAGAAGATCAGCCCAAGAGCCGACACAGTACTTATCTCGCTACCATCTCTTGATTGATTTTCTTCTTCTCGTGCTCGTTTGTACATATGGTTGAGTTTTGAAGTGAAGCGCACATTTTAATAAGTCGGACCAAGTAAATTCTAAATGCTCCCTAGAGTCACTAGCCTATCGTCATCAAATCATCAGTCTCACTACTTTTCACAGATATGTTTTCCATCATCGTGATTACCTTGCTGATTTCCATTTCAAGATTACGAATAGTGAGCGGCGACCAAATAAAATCATTCTTCCCAAATTTAAATCATTGTCTAAATCTCATTTCATATTCCGAACTGCTATTCTATGGAACTGTTTACCCCCCCCCCCCCCCCCCCTCCCCCAGTCTAAACATCGGAAGCCTCGCTCTATAAGTTTAAAGCTGCCCTCAGGAATTTTACAGCTGACCATGCTTATGCAATCAACGGAATTCCGCCACCTTGCAGTTGATTTTCCCCATTTCTCTCCCAATCGATCCCTACTTGTCGTCTTTGTACATACATTTACATCTACTGTTCTTTCAATCAAATGAATCCCTTGATAGGCACATTGCCTTTGGGTCATTTCATAATAATAATAATAATTTTAGAATTGCGATCAACAGAACGAGCTGAACCGACATTTTCACAAAGGCTTTTATTGTATTCAAAAACGAGTGGATACGAATTCTAAAACTATTGTCGCCTCGACGCCTATTTAAATAATAATAATATGACAAGACATGAAAAAGCACTTACACAAAGTACGTATTTACTAGACAAGAATAAAACATTTCAGGGGTGTAATGGATAGGTGAACAAGCTATGACGTACGAATCGGGAAATACAGGAACAGGAACAGGAAGTACACAGCGTGCGTATGTAGTAAACAAAAGAAATCATGTGAGGTGTGCGATGGATACGTGAACAAAATGTGACGTACGAAACCTTGTTGCATAAAAGCATCATCATCGTTTCAAGACTGCTAGCAAAATCCTGCTGAATTCCGTGAAACATAACAAGTTATAGGTATTATTTCGATACAAGTTATGGGCCGTCATCTATCGCATGGACATATTGCCCTACTCTACAAGTCATATGTACGACCCACAGTAGAGTACGCTATCCCTGTCTGGTGCTTCAGACTTACCGCTACCCAGCTAGAATCGCTTGACATTTTACAAGCAAAGATCTGCAGATGCCTGCTGCGGTCTGCGAAGATTGATTTTGATCGCTATGAATCGAAGAATAATTTAAATAGGCTGTGTAATTTGGAATCCCTTCACTTCCGACGCACTTACATTTCCATCACCGTTTTGTTCAAGTATATCCATTGGCACCCAGATTATCTATCCCGCTTTGACATCAATATCTCTTCTAGCGCACGCCGACCAAACAAACTGATTTTCAATTCTCATGGCCGCATCTCTTCCTCTCTCTTTCTGCATAAGATCGGAAAGCTGTGGAACTGCCTTCCACCAAGGCTGACATCCCAAGATTCACTTTCTAAATTTCAGCAGCAATATCGCTTGCACGTGAAAAGGTTTAAATTTGACTGTAGTGGTATATCCCTTGACATTTAAATTAATTGTTTTATTTTTAACAACCCAGCCCTGTGTTTATTGCTAATTTATGTAGCATACACTGTAACACGTGTAGTTTTCCTCACTGTTTATTTCTATTGCATGATTTGCATCAGGAGATCCCCTCGACAGGCCATCGCCTCTGGGAGATCCTTTAATAAAGATTATTATATATTATATATATTATATAAAAAAGTAATTGGATATTGGTATTTCTTGCCAAAGAACGTAGAGCAAACGGACAAATTCCGGTAAATTCTTATTCCGTGCCATTCAGTGCAATGTCCTTATTGGTCGGACTCAGTATCAGAATCGGAGCATGACCGTTTTTCTGCATGGCCCGTGCTTCCAAGTCCTGAACTTCCCGCTGACGGGCGTTCCGCCCCCGCCGCTGAGCAGCCGCCTGTTGGACGTCCCGCTGCCTGTGTTGATCGCACGGTAGGTCGTCCTGATCTCGCGTTAGGCGTCCCCATCCCTGGGTGAACGTCGGGCTCCCGATTTTGGGCGTCCGGCTCCTGATTGGGTGCGTGCTGCACCTGATGATTTGACTGTGGTTGTATTTCGGTTTTGCCTTGATTGAGCTGCATTCGGATTTGCCAGTGTCGGGTGAGCCTCTCTGGGGCATGCCGCACTCGGTAGAGCCACTCTTGGGCGAGCCGCTTTTGGGCGCGCTCCGCTTCGGCGAACAGCTGTTCAGCGATCCGCTGTTGGGCGAGCCGCTGTTGGGCGAAAAGTTCTCGGTCGACCTCTCTTTGTACGATTCGCTCATAAGCATCCAGCCATCTCCATTGTCCGACCCAATTCCGGGCAAAAAGCCCTCGGTCAAACCGCTCTCCGGGGAGCTGATCCAACTGCACTTCGTCAACCCTCTCTCGCGTTTGCCGCTCTGCTGAACTTAAAGTTACCCTTTGCGTGGCTTGGGTAGCTTGCTGTTGGTTGTGTCTTTCTTGGGCGTGACATTCCCGGCATTGCCCTCTTTCGGCGACCTGCACACCGATATCCCGGTCTTGAGTACCCGGCTTCTGGACGTCCCGCTCTTGGTGGTCCAGCACTTGGGAACACCGATCTTGGATGTGATGCTCTTCGCTGTGCTGGTTTTCGGCTTTGGAATCCCGGGTTTGGGCTGACAGCTCCTCGGCTTCAGACGTTTGCGAATCCAGTTCCTTGACGTCTGGACTTTCGAAATTCTGTTCTTTGGCGTCCCGGTTTTCGCTATCCCTCTCATCAACATCCCGCTGATCGTCATCACATTCTCCGATACACGACATCTCTCTACAGAATCTTGCAGTCACCCGCACAAAGAAAAAAAAACAAGCAGAAAGGAAAGTGACGTACCGATACAAGTAAAGACTAACTAGTGGTAGGTTTTTCATTTTGACCCGACGAGACCATACGACTCTTGTAGATCACAGCACGAACAGTTCACCAGCCACACTCCACGAAAGCAAGTAGTAGTACTCCTGACAGGTCTTGTTTCGTTCCATAGAGATAATAACGGGGAACTCATCAGAGGAAAAGCAGTTGTTGAATGAAGGGGGTTTAGCTGAATAATGCTATTATATAGAAACGATATTGGCGCACTGAGGTGTAAACACTCAACTAACTCACATAATTATGTGACATATCAACACAAAAGGAATAGTGTCCCTCTCCTGTCTACATAATTATATTCTAGTGGTTGTTAGTCTTGGTCATATGCTGTCTGATGAGTGATTTCACACGAAAATCGGAGTAACAGCGGAAAGAGACTGGTTTGATCTATTGCTGAGTACTATTTGTATACTATTGGATCAGTATCCCAGTGTACAAACAAACCAGAAAGGAGGTTAATGCGAAATAAATAAATCAAGTCAGATGGTGAGCGAAAGAATACTTTTTGTAACTTGGGAAAGTGTGGGTACAAGGTATGCGATCATGCAACCAACTAAACCAGATTTTGAACAGTGAGACGTGCACAATCTTGCACAAAACTGACAGAGAATACTGAGACATTAAACAGCATGATAATGTTGGAGGAGCATGCGTGTGCCGTATAATTAGTTTGTCTTCGCTATGCCATTTTTTATTTTCTGGACAAGTAACGTTTCTCCTTGCTCTCTCTTGGGAGAGTGAACGTTTTTCATCAAATGGAACGAAGAAGGAAATAGAGCGAGGGATGAGAGCTCATTGACGGTCAGTGTGGAGTCGCAGATTGCAGCTGTTCGATTTGTTGGTCATTCGGAGGTCCATCAATGCGGGCATACAGCTGAAGCGAACAGGTGGCCGAGGTTGCGCTGACTAGTTGGCAGCGGCTAGCCGAGCTCCACGCCATGTACGGCCTCAGTATCAGAACTGCCATCACAACACCGGCAACGCAGCAGCTCGTCTTGCTCGTTTTGCCTTTATGTCACGCAAGTACTGTTCTCTAACTGACCATTTATTTTGCAAATTTTCTGTATGTGCCCAATGGGTTCCACTTGTGCAGCTTTCGGCTTTAGTTTATCAGTAGAATGGTACAATATGCAGATTTTCTCGTATTGTAGTCATGTACAATCATGTATGTCCGCGGCTTTTGACACTCCGTAAGTCTACCCCAGTGTGCATCATCATTACAGTACAGTACTCAGCAGTGTTTTGAGTATTATTTGCTGAAGTAAATTGTTGACCGTTCTTTTTTTTTTTTTGCACCTCATTCCCGCTCGCTCCTCATTCTTCCTTCCAGTTGCCATATGCTTGTTTTTATTATTATTACTTGCATGTACGCGTTGGAGTCAACCATGCAAGCATGATCCACAACTTCGCTTATGCTGAACATGATAAACAGGACTATGACAGAGGAAAAAATGAGCTAGAACGATGATAATAATAATTATGATACTTATATCATAATATATACAATGTAGCTCATGGGTATTGAAGATATGTCATTTATGAATATGTCTATAATTATGAATATTGCAGCCTTAGTGATAAAGATAGTGCTATTTCCTGAGTTTGACTGTTTCATGATCTGTTGGAATAGGTCAATGCACAGACCCTCATGCATAGATATCGCCATGCTGGTCTGTCATGGGCAATGGCTCCCAGGCTCTGCAGAGCGTCTACTAGTGAACAATCCAGCATTGGCTTGGCGCAGATCTCCCACCATAAAAACTACAGCCGCGAACCACGTAGTGGAAAGCTACACAAGATGGCCAACGCATTTTCACATGTACAGAAAATTTGCAAAAACGTTCCGAACATTCAGGGAGAAGACATTACTTGCATGACACATTGGCAGAACGAACAAGGCAGACTCGAACATTCCAAGATTCTGCAGCCGTTGCGTTTCAGGTGTTGGGTGGCAGCTCCGTTACTGAGGCCGTATACAAGTCGTCGAGCTCGGCTAGCCGCCGCCAACTAGTCAGCGCAACCTCGGCCACGCGCT